CATGGTAGTAGCTTGAAGGCCTGTTGTCATGGTAGTAGCTGGAAGGCCTGAATCTCTGGCCTTGGAACTCTTGCCTTGAAACCCTGGGGTAACTGGTGTAGGTATGGCAAGTGGAGCCTGCTTTGTATTAAGAGATACTGCTGGTATTGGAGTTGACATTAGACTTGACTGACACAGAACRTCTGGTTGCTTTGAGTCAATAGGCTTCGGTGTTGTAAGCGGTTTTAGATCAAATGCTTGAGGATCAGATTTATCTTTCAGTTTCATGAAAAGACTGCTTCCAATATTTTCAAGAATTACAACATCCAAAATGTTCTCCAATGACTTTGATACCTTTTTTGTTGTAAATCCATACTTTCTTGAGCTGAAATTGCTGTTAAATTCAGCTTTGTAGCTAGACTTAAATCTTCCCACATCCAGAGTATAGTTTGGCTGTGTGAGCAAGAGCTGCTTGACTTCAGACTTGAAAAGATTGACACCAGATAAGGGTTTTTTAGGATTAACTGAATCAGTACTTGGAACAGGATGATCCATAAAAAGATGCTTTGGGTAACTTTCTAACTCACTGTTTGGGATTTCCTCTGTACTTCTATCTCCGCATGAATTCATTCTACTGTTTTCATGGTTTATAGGTGATGATGATGGAAGACTCTCAATCAAAGATGATCCGGAAAGACTTTGATCGATACTGTCAAATGTTTCTGTGCCTACTCTATTCTTTTCTTGTTCTTGCTTGTTGGAATCAGATAGACTTTTCACTTGATGAACAGCTTTAGCTTTGAATCTTTCAATGCCTGATGACAAATCATCTGAAGAGAACAGTTCTGTAGGTAGACGGCTAACTAACTGCTTTTCTTTAACATCAGTTGCAGATTTGGAAGTTGATTCAATAAGACCTGCACCACGAATGCTGCTGGTTCTTGTTTTACATTTTTGGAGTGATTGCACACTGTTTGTCCTGTTTCCATCCTTTAAACTTTCTGATGAAGAAGAAACTTGACTAGGCGTTGGTTTATTCTGTGAGACACTTGCTTTCTCTTTCAACACTATGAATTTTCTTTCGTTTTCAAAGCTAACGACATCACCTACATCATCAAAATATCCCGTCAACTTTTTCTTCAAGAATCCATATTTCTGATGATTGAATTGTTTGCCAAATTGCTTTTCGTAAGCTAACTTAAATTGGCAGGTTTCTAATTTACGGTCTTTCTCAGCTAGCAATACCTTCGTTACTTCGGATTTAAAGAGTTCAGTACCAACCAAGGTTGTGTTTGAAGCAGCACTCTTTGCCATACCTTCTCGGTGACAAGACGCAGTTCAAAGCTTGAAGATCTTTACGCTACATTATGATGAACGATTTGGGCATTTTTAACAATTTAAATGTATCCTACAAGCATCATATTTGTACCAATCGTATCTACTGGTTCCACATATTAATCGTTTTCTAAGAAACGCTAGGTTTCTTCCTGTTTTTCCAAGAATACATCCCTCACGTCARGTAAACAACAACTGACATTCTTGGAAATACACTCTTTACCAGGCGTTCCACGTACTCCTTCTTGAGCCTTCGTACAACACATTCAGCGGTGTTTACCCGTTAACCTCGTCATTTCGTCGTGACGTCAGAACAGGAATGATAGCATTTTAACATTTTCATATACTACCTACATCTACATTTATTTTAATTTTGAATTTTTGTTTTTGTTTTGGAGTTCTAACAGCTTGCTAATAGTAGAGCTTACACTACGTTACAGGTTCATGATCAGCCGCGGTGTGCCATCTTCTTGTCAAACGTTTTGACATGGATCTCCGCAGGAAGCTAACAGTAAACATATAAATAAAGTGAATAGTACATTTGGCATGTTTAGCTATGACTTGCTTGTATTTTCCGTGTGTAACGGCAAACTTACTTAGGCACCATCCTTTTCTTTCATGACCAATTATTGGGCTGCAATCAGAGTCTCTTTTTTTCATGCTGAATACACTGCTACTTTATTTGCTCTAACAATCACGAGAAATATTTTGAAGCCCTGGAAAGTGAAAGTGAACAAAATGTAACTGCTGAAGTTGTTACTTGTAACACAATGACTTGTTTTGCATTGTTATTAGCACATGGAGTAATATTACTGAAGCACAGGGTGGCTTGTAACTGACTGAAACACTATATATAGATAGTCAAGATCATTAGTTATTAGCATAGTGACAATGTTACCATGAAAACTACACATACCAGCAGTACGAATACGTACCTATTATTGTATTACTATTTACGAGTCGTTTTAGACTGATACCATTAATAGTACTTTTCAGTTCTTATCTATTCTATGTCAGTGATGAAAGTGTCTTTCGTAGTCAGAGTCTTGAGCCTTCGATTCGGGCCTTTCGATTCTGACTTGAATTCTTGAATCGGCCAAAATAGTGACCAGGGTYCGAAAGAAGTAGTTGTCACTCTAATGCCCGGGTTTGCGACCGTTCGTTTTTCAAATAGTTTAACTTTTTGTTAAAGTAGACCGTGCCTAAAGTTCTAAACGAAAGACGCAAGGCCAGTGCTTGTGGTTGGAGCTCAGGTCGCGCAACATTTGATAATGGATGTGGAGAAACAGATTACCCGCCCACTACTATTGGAATCAAGCAGCAGTAACCGTGTCCAAAAACCGTCGCTGACGGCCAGGTTCAGACGCAGTTTCACACAATGTGCCGGGGTATTTTACTTCTGGTTTTTGATTTTCCTGCTGATATCTCTTGTCGTGTTTTATATACCTCGGGTTTTCATCTGTTGTATAAAATACAGGGTGTCATCTTATCAATGCAACAATTCTATTGTCATTGAACATGACATTGAACTGGAGATGGTTTACTTAACGACACAAGACCTAATGGATCTGCTCTGCCTTGCTATTCTAGTCAAGTGGCACCGTACTGCTGGTCTAAAGTCCATATTCCGGAAGTTAGTAAGGCTTCCAAAATTCTGGAGTATTGTGGTGATGGTTGTCGTTTCTGGTTGTTATATGAGTATAATGGTGAACCGCACAGCACATATGATATCCACGAACCAATACCTTGTATTATTCCTTTGTTGCGTTCATTGTATTTGCATGGCACTGGTTGTTCCAGTACTTAACTACACCAGAATCAATTTATTCTGTTCTGTCAAGAAGTACAGCAAATTCAATCAAATTCTTATAAAACTGACACTGTTTTTGCAGTTTGTGGTGAACGCCAGTATGTTCTGGTTGGGTTTCTTACAACTGAGCTTCAATGTGTCTGGTATCGACAGCAAGGCTAAAGCAACATCAGACGTYCACACTATCTACTTGATATTGAGAGACTCGGCTGTTGTGCTGTTTCACTACACAGTACAATCATTTCTGTGGCACAAATCATTTGAAGATGACAGAAACCTTCTGGGTTACAAGGAAATTCTTGAATAATACCCGCCCGGCCCCTCAAATAAACCTACAGACAGACAGACGGACCGATTGACTAATGACTGAGAGAATGGATGGATGGATCAGGAGAGGGATAGAAGGAAGGAGAAAAGTTTATAGACCCTTCGTTGAAGACCTCACTACACTATAAAGAAGGAAATTAATGTGCTTGTTGGGAGAATAAGATCATCAAGAATAGAACTTTTAGTACTGAAATATTAATGATATCAACTGCGATGATCATGAGAAACGTGTACCGACATAAAGACTTGGGCAGCGAGATGAGCAGATAATCCAAACTAACTTTGTCGGGTGATCGATGTGTTGATAGCAATGAAAAGAGACCCTGACAAAACTAAAGGATGTAAATACGACATGTTGGTACAGTCTAGATTCACAAAGAATCCGCAGAAATGTAWACAAGAAGAATTGGATCTAACTTCACTGAAGAAGATCCGCCTGGTCAAGGATCGAAACGTCTGTAAAAATGTTTCAAAACAAGTCAGAGACAAACAGTTCAAGTATTGCCTAACAATTGTAATCATATTTTTTGTAACATACTGATATTTGAAGGCCATTAGAATAAACATCTTCACGGCCATACGACAAGGTGCTCTCTTGATGGAGTCAGGTGCATTTGCTAAGTACTCGTTTTTTTTCTGGTAATTCAATACAATACAATACAATACAATACAATTTTTATTTGCTCATACAAGAAAATTTACATGAAATGTGAAAAACAACTATAGAAAACAACTAAGAAAATAAAGAATAGATAATTGTCAAAAGAACATAATTCAGAGCCTGGGGTCTAAATTAACCATAAGGTTTTCGAGTTAGACCCCAGCAATTTAAAATTTAACATTGGAGTAAACTGAAGAAGAACCAAGTACATAAAAAATAATTACAATTTAACTGAACAATAAAACTGTTAATCGTTCTAACATGTTGTTGTTTAATTATGAGTTTGAAATTTTAAGATAGTATAAGCGGATTTATCGGCTTTAAAACGTCCCAAAAAGTAATATCGTACTTATTAATAAGAAAGAATGCCTGGTGACAACTGGTCAATATTTGGTTGCGAAACATGTCGCAGAACTGTGTCACCTCTATTTACTCTACGGTGAAAAATACATGAAGTATCTCACTAAATATATGGGCCACATCTTAAAACCAAGCTGGTCACAGGTGCCCAGTGAGGCAATGATGCATCATTTTTTCAATAACCATAAAAAATCTGAAGATCTTTAATTTTTTAATGAATACTGATATGCTTTACATGTGTAGACCTTAATTCCATTGTTTTCTTTTGTGTCTATTTGACTATTACACGTTGACTANTGCAAGTGGTTTTGACAAAAGAATTTATTGAAAAATTCACACAACTTTACAATACATGAAAAAAAAAAACGGGAACGAGATTACAGGATATCTCTTTACATCGTAGAGAATTCCTTGTCTTGATATGTGCAACGTCTTCAAGAACTTTTACTACACTGATTTAAGCTTAGTTTGGGCCTACGTTTATGGGAAAACCTGCATTCTTAAGACCTTACACATCCTACGCAATGTTGCACGCCCTAGGCGCAAACAGGATGTCCCAAACACGAACTTACGTAAACAAGCGCCAAACCTAGGCACGACTCACCGTAATGTAATTACGTACGGAAATTATTTCTTGCTTACGCATTTTCCACGCAAACAGTTAACTAAAGAATTACATTCCTATGTGTACACGAGGCATTCCTAATTAAAAATATAGATTTATGTCTAAATAATTACTGTCTAAATAATTACTGTCCAAAATAGTGTCTTTTGACTCTGTCACATTGAGTTGTCTGCTTCAAGCCAAGGCCAAGTAATAAGACAAGAAACAACCGATTAACAGATTAACAGATTATCAGAGACTCGGATGTTTTGATAACATTATGCCGCAACACATAGCAACGGCGACACAGGATCCGGATAAAAAATAACATAGTTTTTATTCTTTTTTCACCTCCAGATATTTTTTGTTCCTTATTTTATCAATAATTGTTTKATGTGGTCATAATAAATATTCAAAAATGGTAAATATTTGTAGTTTTCTTAGCCGGTAGTTAACTTAAAGGTCCACGAGTAAGCAAAGGAAAGGCCATTACAGAATCCAGCATGAATCAAAAAARCTGCTTTTCAAATAAGTTGTACTGTGTTTCGAAATATAGCATGGTTGGATCATAGATAAGAACTCCTAACTTTGAGGCAGGGAGTTGTCAACTTGAAAACCAAAAGAAAAATCAAATAAAAGAGTTCAGGCCGTTTTAGACATTTTTAGACAATGGGCCTTTCCCGAATTCGCTTGACTGATCACGAAACAATGGTTTGAAGTCCAGTCTCGACTTCAAACCATTGTTATCCAAGCGAATTCGGGAAAGGTCTATTAGCACTAGCGCGCCTGCGGATGATTGAACGAACGCCAGTCAGTCGGGTTAACTGGGATATCTCACTGATTCTCAGTTATCTTTCTTTCGCTTCATCAAAACTAAGTAAGCGATTGCGGGACTTGTCTCGGTAACAGGGTAAACTCGTTTGGATGTATTTTTAGTATGTTTAGGGTTTTAAAAGTGTTTGTTCAGAAGAGACGACTTGAATGACGATTACTGCATGATATCGTTATCATCCTTGTTGTACTCGATACGCCTTGATGAGCGTATTTCATATCACATTCAGCGCGGTAAGTCAAACTCCATGGAATACCATATTATATCTAAATGTCTATCGGAAAAGGTTTCATATACGTAATTCGGGCATCACAACACGTTTGTAATAGCAATATTATATTTCTGATAATGGACGCACAAGGAAATAAATAAAAGCTGAAAGAGGGGAAAGTGGGGACAACTTCTCATTGTACATCAACCAATCATTATTGATACAGGGTCTCCTAACCTTAAGAAGGCACTTAAATTTCCCTGTATTACCCATTCAACTAATGAGTTACTTAATCATAATAACTGTGCACAGGACTACTCGGCCAGACTCTAATTTAGAAAGACACTAAGGGTGACAGTGGTTGCAAAAGGAAGTAGTATTCCTGCAGCAAAAAACTGTGTTAAATATGTAGGAAAAGTTAGATGTATAAATTGTGATACGAATTATCGGATAATTGATATACTATATGTCAGGATTCCTCGAGGTAAAATAGATAGATTAAACCTTTCGGGATAGGCCGGATCCCATAGCTAGAAGTCACATTGCATATACTGGAGGTTTGTGATTGGATGGTGCATCATCTGGTGTCTTTTGATTGGTTCAGAGCTGAAGCCATTAAAAAGTCGTGTCTGTCTCCGAGCCGATTTTTTAAAAAGTCATTTGTACTTGTAAAGAGTCAGCTTCATTACCTCTACAGACAGACATTAGAGCTTGAACGAGAAAGTGTTTCGTGTTTATTCATGACCCGCAGTACATGTAATTTGACTAGTTATAACTGAGCAAGGTTGTCTAGCGAACCGGCGGGAGCGAAGGCGCACAGAATTAACCAGCAGAATTAAGGTACGTATTGTGTATAAGACCTACTTGCAAAGATACTAGAGTAAGGTAATGAAATGTGAAGAGAAGAGTATTTTTATTCTGTTCCATTTGTTAAGCCGAAATTTAATACTCACTGCGTCCTTTATTTTTGAGATCAAGAGAAACAAAAAATCGAATCTTACAACAACAAAACAATAAAGAGAGAGAAACTAGAAAAGAGACACCCGATAATGGTTAGAAATAAGTGAAATTGGTTCCATTGAAAGACACACTAACCAAAAGACTTGCATAGTATTCATGGCGAATGTTGGATTAAAGTAACAAGAGACCAACATGAGGTCAAAAGGGGTCCAAGTACTGAATGAATGGAACATGAGGTCAAAAGAGACCCAAATACTGAACTAATATTGAAAATAGATCCCCCTCCCAATATGGGTCAGCTCTTGTGATGTGCTTTCATAATCCAAAACGACACCCGGAAATAACTAGGTTCCAATCTACAATTTTGTATCGCCTGAAAGAAGATCAAAAATAGTAATAAAGCACCGTCCTTCAAGCGCTTACTTGTTAGTCATTATTATGACAAATGATTGTCTTCCTTTGAGACGGTCACTAATACCTGTTCTTGGGTGACGAAATGCCGCTGCTCCAACTGTAGGGCTTAGCCATTCATTTGTTAGTTACCTGTTTGATCTCTCTCTCCCTCTCTTTACTCTCTTTTTTTTCTTTTCTTCTTAATTCCAGTTGGAGACTATCCTATAGGTGGAATGTCACCTGTCTAGTTCTCCGCAACAGTTTAACTATTGGAAGTTTAATAAATAAAAAATAAATAAATAAAAAGAAAAATCGATTGGCTAATCCTTTTGAAGTAGTTTTTTACATTTATCCATTGTCTCACCTTCAGCTATCGGCGATAAATCGCTGCCCACCAAGTTTTGATAACTACTGGTGTAGTTTTATACATAGTCATTAGGTAGGCGACAACACAGTACAACATGAAGAACAAATARAACTATATTTATGGCCAACAATCCCACACAGTAACAAGTTGGAGAGATCTAATTGGACGGTTTATCTAGTAATCAGACTGTGATTGGTCAGAAACTTCCGACCAATGGAATTCAGTTCTAAAACTAATCATATCAGAGGCTTAAAAACCATAATAGCAGAGCGGCTAGAGATAACAGATAGGATCAGAAGTTAAACTGAACGAAAACCACTTAAATATAATGGCTGCCGGCATAGATATAAAACAGGTTAGACAACGACAAAAGCCTTCAAGCTTCATGATCAGACTTGCCAAACTTTGTAGTCACCGCATACAACAAAGCTGTCTTATCTACACATCCTAAATATATGGAAGGTTAACTCACGAGCTATTTTTGAGTATTTGAAATCCATATTAACGTGCAGCATTAAGGAAGATCAGTAAGGTATTGTTATTGTTGTTTTTACCAGTCCACCGTATAGATATATATATTTAAAAAACTCATTMATAATTCATGAAGGAAACACAAATAGAAATCATGACCATGAAGGAGGTTTTATATCTGATATAGATTCGTCTTCATTTGCATAAACTTTAACTTGGATTTTCTCTATCAAACTTGGTTCATTTCGTAAAGAATTCGGTACAGTATGAGAACATATATCTGGAGTTTTTTAAGCCGTTTAATAAAGTCGCAGATCGTGTTTTATCGGGTCTAAAACCACTCGGCTACGCCTCGTGTTTTATACCCGATAAAACACTCCTGCTCGTTTATTAAACAGTACATATGTGCAATTTATATCCTAATGGTTTGAGGGAAGTTTGAAAGCATTAATCTTAAAGAACTTGGATGTTAAACGGGAAGCAGGTGTAAAGTGTAAGAGAATAATTCCATGGGATTTAAGAGATTTAATGACGTCTTAACTAATCACAAGTGTTTCCATGACAACACATGTCTTGGTTCTTTTCGACCCGTTGACATTAGTTTATTATCAAAGACATTAGTAAATAAGGCGCCTAACACAGTGATATAGCTGATTGACTTATTGAAATGTTGCTTGTAATGAGATGTACCCTTGATACCCAGGTTAAACCAGAACGACAGAATTAGGACTGTGAGAATAGATAGATATAGACAGTACTTATCCTTCGGGTCCATATGAGCTGCTTTGCAAGTCACAACTTATGGCTACCGTTGCTAGGAGACGCACACGTGATCTATCGTGTAGTTAGTATTTCCCGCGATTTTTCATGTGGTATTCTGCACGAAACTAGATTCAGAATTTATTATTTCAGAATTAAGGCGGCAGAATGAATACGCACGGAGACAGGAAGCCTGAAAAACGATGACGCCATAACCTAAATAAGAGTCAAAACGACCAAGATACTTCATGTTCATATCATAACATGTCAACCATAGAACTGAAATAGTTTGTCGG